GCGTTAATACTGAATGTTTAACATTATATTCATTGCATACATATACTTTACTTCGTAGCTTAATCTCTAATAACCATTCTGCTGTCTGTTGTTCTGTTGTCGGTGTTTCTTTGTCTGAATACGGCACTTATTGCATGCTGTGTGGTATCGACGTTTGGTATCGGGGCATTTTAACGAGTACGCGTACAGGAGCTCAGTATCGGGCACGATACCAGTATCGGTATCGGTGCATCCCTAATATTTGGATATAATCAAGTAACTGCTTGTATTTGAAGCTGATTTGCCGTCATCACCTTTTGAGACATTTTTCGTACAAAAGAATATGATGCTACGTCATTCTAGTCTGCTTTTGAAAGTAAATCACATCACATAATGAACGCATTGCTCACTAGTGTGGGTCAGGCTAAATGTATGATAGGAATCTCTGCCTGATTTGAGGTGAGGTAATCAGTCAAGTAAAGGCTGTTTAGACACAGTCAAGTTAAGTAATTGAGCAATAGGCGTACTGCAAATCTGGGTCACCCTCTTGAGCTCTTTGAGAATTTCTGTCGTTCTGCAAGTCTGAGCCATGATTTGCTGAGGTACATTTAAAGGTGGAGTGTGTAGTTTTTGCGCAACTAAGTGTAGCCCAAACAGAACTGCACAAATAATGAAGGTTTTCACAGATCTTCTTTATGCACCAAGAGCTTGTAACACTTCAAAGAGAAAGAAAAAAATTGAAATCGCATCATATGACCCCATATGGATAGTTCACCCAAAAATGAACATTCTGTCATTGTTTACTCGCCCTTATATCATTACACCTGTATGACTTTATGTATTCTGCCATACACATATATATTTTAAGGACTGTTTTTGTCCTTATTATGAAAGTCTTTACTGAATTTGTGCACATCTGTCAAATACGGCAGTATTTAGTAGAGTGAAACTGAAACTTGATATTCCTCAGACTTCCTTAGCTATTTGTTTTCTGAAAATTGAACGTCTCATTCAAAGCACGGATGACATCCTGTTTCCTTAGCATATCAATCAATCAATTGGGAAATCTACCACACTTCACTCACTATATCTATCTATCTTTGATTATTTTTGTAACTCTGGATGTGCATGATAACTGCTCAGGATGTCATCGTTTGTTTGCCTTTTGTATGCACTGATTTGACATACACTGATTTAGCTCATCCTCAATAGCATAATGTGGCATAGTGACTCCTTTGGCTCTTTTTCATGTGACTTAATCATTTAATGGTAAAGACTTGCAGTGGGGACCAAAAGTCTGAGACAACAATCAAATTTAAACCTGCAAATTTTTAGAAATTGTAATTAATTGTAGAACAACTCAATTAGATAAAATCGAAGTAGAAATATTTCAAATGTAATCTTACTAATCACATAAGCAAAATTATGGCATTAATCAGAGAAAATTCTGATATTGCAGAAATTCTTGCTTCCAATAAAGCTCAAGATGCTCTAAAATCATGTTGGATAATATGATCTTCAAGTTTTGACATGTCAGGTCGAGTCATTGCCTAATGCTATGAAAAACATCAGAAACTTTATTTTTGGAATTAAAAATGTATACTCAAATTGTCATGCTAATGATATAATAAAAATATAATATTTATTTATTTTATTTAGTCATTTAGCAGACGCTTTTATCCAAAGTGACTTACAAATGAGGACAATAAAAGCAGTCAAAACTAACAAAAGAGCAACAATATAT